CTTCGTACCCCCAAAAACATTACCATCAGGTACTTATTCCTAACCTTCAAAACCTGCACACCATCCTTTTGGTACTTTTCACTAAAATCCAAGTTTCATTAGACTTTTCAACTCTCTCCCCAAAAATTCCTAAATTACCATACACAACACAAAAATATAGGGAGAAACTGGATTCCCTCGACGCAAACCCCTTTGGGGGGAGAAACTTTCCATCTTCTCACCATTCCAAAGAATCGACATCCTTGATGTTTCAACACATACCATTACCATTTTCAGTTGTACATCGAAGAGAAATCTTATGAATAAATTGGAGGGATAAATATGAAGAGAATGAAATGTGTTTAGGGGCAGCGAATGCTTTGTGTCGTCGGCCAGTGGCTTGGGTTAGTATGGAGCAGTTTAAATTTAATTAGGTAATAAGTACTATAACTATGTAGTCCATTATTTTCAGCTTAATTGTACTTTTAAGTAATTGTATGAGATCCCTCTTATATATAATTCCCGAATGCGCTGAGCCTACGTGGCTGCTTCTGGTGTTTCGGAATCCTACTTGGCGAAGAATCATGCTTCGTAATTAGGTTTGGACAATATTATTGATATATTAATAATTAATAATTTAGGTTCAGACATTCCATAAACATTATTTAGCTAGCTTAGGTATTTTAATATCACTTGTACTAATATAACCTTTTAATTCTTTGTAATTTTACATAGTGAGACACTAAGTGACTAATATATCCCTGACTTTTGATTTGTTTCTTTCAATTAGCTATTGAATTACAAATGTATTTTAAAAGTTGATAACTTTTGTTTTTCTTATCGGTTTTACATATATAATATATCAAATTAATCATCTTTTCATGATCTTCAATTTGACATCCATATTGTATATATGAAATAAATAAATTATATTTATCTTTATAATAATAGAAAATAATAATATTTATTAAAATTTATTAGAAAAATAAAATTATTTCTCAATTGATATATTTATGTTTAATGTAGTTATATGTTGTAAATTAAAAAAATTATTATAATAAAACACAAGTAAGTCATACAAATAAAAATTGTCATACTAAATATATAAAAATATATATATTTTAATAAAAGATATTTAAATTTTGAACTACTTTTCTTATTAATTTTATAAAGAAAAAATTTAGCAAGCACCCGTATAACACACGGGCGTTGTACTAGTTTATTAATAATTCAAAACTGCAAACCTTTTTTTTTTTAAAAAAAAATGCCATTATTAATTATATTTTACGAAAAATACCATTACATTTTATTCTTCGTAATGCCTTCTCATTTCATCAAATTCAATTTTATATATATTCATTAAATAATATTTTATGATGTAGGTAATAAGACAACAAATTTTGAAGAGTACATTAGATAAAAAGGACTACACTGTTATATAAGCGTCACATTTCATTAATCTATCTATACTTATATTAAAATGGATCCTATTTACTAAATATAGTAGATAGAAAAGTCAAACTTAATTAATGAGCTTCTAATTTTATCAAGTAGTAATTAATGCATTTATAATTTATGCTGACATAAAAAATACTTCTTATAAATCTTAACATAAAAAATTATGTATGTAAATCCCATAAAAAAAAATCCTTCTTATTATTTATGCTGAACTTCTAATTTTTACTCCTTCTTATCTTGACATAAAAAATTTCATAAAATCGGGTGAGCAAAAACAATCAAGATCTATATTTATATAATATGGTATCCTATTTACCAAATTTAGTAGGTTAAAAAGTCAACGTAATTAATGCATTGTTATTTCTATCCAGAATTTTATTTAATTATTTTATTTATTTGTTTTATATCCCATAAAATCAATTTAAGAAAAAAAAATCTCATAGCATCTAATAAGTAAAAAAAAGGACGTAGAATCTTTACTAAAATAAAAAAGGCTTTATTTATTTGTCTTATTCCATATTAACATCGATTTTGTCAAAACAAATCCTTAAAATCGGTGAAGTCAAAATTTTTTACGTAAAGTCTATCTATACTAAAAGAAAGGCAGATTCAAAATTCCTTATTTTTCTTATCTAATTCCTTCTTATTATCTAATTGTATGAAAATCTATTCTGATTTTGTTCAATTCTCTAATTGTATTTCTATTATATCCCATAAAATCGGTTTAACAAAAAATCCCCATAACATCCAATAAGTAAAAAAAGTACGTAAAATCTTTACTAAAATAAAAATGCTTTATTTATTATTTAATTGTATAGAAATCAATTCTGATTTTGTTCAAATTGATTCCTGTATATTCAAATTCAGATTTTCAAATAAAAATATTAACAACAATATATATCTACTCTACCTATTAAAAATTACAAATCTCAAAATATCGAGTCATTCTTCCTCACTATCAACCTCCTGCGAACAAAAAATATCTTCAATCAGTCTTTTATTCAAAACAATGAATCAAGGATTTGAGATAATCAAACAAGTCAATAGGTCTAATAGACCTATGCTCAAAGTTCGAATTGTGAGAACGTTTTTCCAAGACTGGGCAACACATACAAATCATATCTCGAGTTGGTTCTGCATGATAAAACTGTAAGCTAAATTATTTGAATTTTTGTTTCAATTTTGAAATTTGAAACGTATATTTTTTTTTCGTATATGTATTAAGATATTTTTGTATATGTTTAGTGAATTATATTTTTGATTTTTTTTAAATTATATTTTCAGATTTGCAATTTGGTTTATTTATTCTACATATCGTGTTTGTGTTTAGGTATTTACATTATTTAAATTTATTTTCGTGCATTGTAAAACTTTTATTGAATATTGCATCTTATAGTAAAATAATTCCCAAATAAATATAGCCTGTGCCTCGCACAGGTCACGTACTATATATATTTTGTATATTTTTCTTTATTTATTTATATAATTGTAGGGCTGGATAAATAGCCTTAAAATTGTGCACCCCGTGCATCGCACGGTCTCTGTACTAGTTATTATATAAAGAGGCTATATTTACTTGGAATTGTAACTATAAATCAGTAAAAAGTATTTTGTTTCGCGCCTAAAAATTCCAATTTACTAAATTGGGAACTTTTTTTGGCCAAAATTTGAAAAGTCCCGCCTAAATTAATATAATTAATGCACAAAATCATTTTGGTCAAATATTGCAGCTATTACCCGGTATTTTAAAAGTCGCTAGGCGCTCGACCAGCGCCTAGAGCATAGAAATCAATATAAGTACCTTATTTTTTATTTATTTTAACTAATTACAAAATAAAATTATCTCGTTTATAATAAATTGACACACCTAAGTCTAAATAATAAATTTAATATATTGTAAAGAAAATATGAGAACAAAATAATGTAATTAATATTTAAAAAAAAAACTGAAAAATTGTCGCCGAGCCCGCCTATGCCTGCCTAGGCGCCGCCTGGCTGCCGAGCCCGCCAAGTCCGCCTAGCCGCCTGACCGATTTTTTCTGCCGTTTTGTGCAAATTGGAGGCGCCCGAGCACCGTCTAGCGCCTAGGCGGCCGCGTAGGTCGATTTTTAGAACAATGTTATTACCTTTTATTAATTGCATGAAATTTGAAATATAATATATTGACAAAACTTGCAGTTATTACCTTTATAAATTGTATGACTTAAATGGTATATAATATATTAAAAATTAAAAATAAAAGATTTTTATTTAAAATTAAAAAATAAAAAAATAATTATTCATAACTTACGAGTCAATATTAACTTGGACGTAAACCAAATAGTTAATTATTTATAGCTTAATAAATTACTCAACAACTTAATTTTCTTATTTGAACATTTTATACAAAAATAAATTATTTTAAGTAATGAAACTAATATAAATTTAATATTTATACTTATTGTTCACATAGGTTGTTAAATAAATGAAAAATTTTACCAAAATAACTATTTTATGGAATCACATTATAGTAAAAAAAATTCTGAATAAAATTTTAAAATGACACTTATTTTGAAATGAATATAAATTAATTTATTGTCAGTTATGTGCACCGCACTGGTTGTGTACTAATTATAAATAGACATTTTTTGTGTATTTTTTCACAATTTAAACTTTATATAGTATTAATAAATTAATATAGATAAACTATATTACATATTGATTCCATATTTTTAATTTACAAATATTATTTAATAAGAATTTTAAATTTATAAATATTAATGAATTTCTCTTACCCGTGCACTGCAAGGACTCATACAAGTATTTTCAAAACACTTGATACTTATTTAAAAGTTTAACTAACTAATTTATTATTCATAAGTGTTGTTATTTGTTTAAAGATGGAGACATGTTTGTGTAATTGTCATAACGTAATTATGCTTTTAAGGTAAATGTTGTTGTATTAGTAAAATTGTGACATTTCTTAAAAAGATTATTTAAATTCATATTTTTAAAAATTATCGCTATATGGGTAAACACGGTGATATTATTTATTAAATGTCATAATTTAATTATACTTTAAATAACGTCTCAATATAGGTTAACATTGCAATACTTTTTTTTTAAAAAAAAAAAAAATTGACGTTATTTGAAAATGTCGTCATTATTTTAACTTTGTAACGCTTTATAAAAAAAACGTCGTTATTATTTTAACATTATAACACCTTTTAAAAGCTTTGCTACAATTTTTGTTTTGATTACACTTATTAGAAAAATTATCATAGTTATATATGTTGCTAGAGGTTCTTTCGTAACACACATTATGGGTTATAAGATTTAATTTATGTGTATAAATCAAAGAGTAATTATTGTAATTAGGAACCATATGATATAATCAAAGAGTAATTTATGTGTAATTATTTATCCTAAACCTACTAGGATATGAACCATATGATATATATATAACACTTCTCCCTACGTTTAAGGCATAAAACAAACTGGAGAGAAAAAGAAAAAGAGTAAGAATCACGCAAAATATCTCAGATATTGAGAGAGAGAGAGAGAGAGAGAGAGAAGTTGCAGCTATGCATTGGATCAGAGGAGAAACCCTCGGCAAGGGCGGTTTTGGGTTCGTCTCCAAGGCCACCACAACCCACCACCATCCTTCTGCCGGCGCCCATCATCATCATCATCATCATCATCATCATCTGCCGCCTTTGATCGCCGTCAAGTCCTCCACACTTTCAGAGTCGGCATCACTCGTGAAGGAGAAACAACTGCTCGACAAATTCCAGGGATGCCCTTCCATCCTCCCCTGCTTCGGAGACGACATTGTTGAATCAAAAAGTGGGGCTGCGCCCACTACTTTTGATAGCAGCCTTTGGAGACTTTTGATAGCAGCAAAAGAAGAAAATTGCAGGCTGCTGTTTTTGAAAAAATTCAGTACGCAATTGTGGAAAAATTGGTACACTTTCCATCTATAAATAGATGGGAGTCTGATGAGCAAAAACAACAACAAAAATACAGAAAGAAAAGAGAGAGAGAAAGAGCTAATAAAAATTTAGCTTTTGTGTGTATTTTTGAGTTGTGAGTTGTGAGTGAGTTTACGAGTGTTTTGTAAACACGAGTGTATTTCTTTTTCCCAATAAAATATCTGCAGTAGTCCGGAGACGTAGGCATTATTGGCCGAACTCCGTTATCAAATTGGTGTGTCCTATTTTTTATTTTTATTTTACTTTTATAGATCCGACTTTATGGAAATTTCAGCGTATTTTTCCCAACAACTGGTATCAGAGCCAGATTGTTAATTCTGTATTTTTTTTT